TGCCCGGCTGCAAGGGGAGCGGGTGGATGTGCTCGGATCCTTGCAGCCACACGCATTCCCCCACTCGCTGCCACCCTCCGTCTGCAAACCCAGCGCGGGCTGCGCTCCCAGCCCGTTTTCCTTGGGGTGGAGCTGCACTTTTTTCAGCAAATATTTTTGCAGTGATGCCTGCCCTGGCAAGGTGCAGAGCCATGCCCTCGTCCCTCCCTCTGCCAGGCACTGCTCCAGACAGGTAAGCAGCCAGCTCTGCATGGCCTGGGATTAACTGCTTGTGTGTGCTGCAGGCTGGAGAGCTGGAAAAAGCAAAACCGGACCCATCTCTTGGCCTTCATCCTCCCCATGGGGCATCCCCCATGGGTGTGCTGCCTCACCAGCCATGTGCAGAGGGGTGTATGGACACAGGACCCCTGTAACCGGCTGGGGAAGTACAAAGCTTAAATCATATGGTCGGCAGGTCTAAACCCATCTTCTGTGCTGGCCACCATGCCCAGAGGTCCTCAGTGGGGAGTTGTGCTGGGAGCCATGGGCTACCTCGCTGGGCTCTGTTTGCCGCTGGCAGGAGACCACAAGCCCTGCCAAAATGAGGAGAGTTGGGATGTGAGTCCCATGGGCCACCCTCCTCCTCCCCAGCAGCATCACACGTCTGCATGCACACTGGGGGACACCCAGGAGCCCCCATACCAGAAGGCGTGGGAATGATGAGCTTGTTGGGCTGCAGCCGCCCAACACTTGTTTACCCTCACGCTGGCACGGCAGCGCCTGTTTGAGAGGGCTCAAAGTCTGCCTCCACCCTATTTACACCTGCTCCAGTTTCAAAGCTGCCTGACGCGCCGCAGCAGAAGGCTGGCGAGGAGAGGTGTCACCTCGCAGCGCCCAGCGTCCGCGGCAGAGCTCAGCAGACACCGAGGGCCCAGGGGACATGGCCAGCAGCACCCCATCCCGCTCACAGCCCACAGCGGGGACCCGGAGCAGAGACACTGTCCTCCGCTCCCTCCCTCACAACTCCTGTCCCATTTGGGTCCCCGGTGGTCACGGTCCCGGAGGAATCCCTGGCACCTCTGCCCCACAGCCACAGTGCTGGAAGGGCAGCAAGGCAGCGTGTGGCTGCACCCCAGGCCAGGGACTTTTTTAATCGGGGGCAGGCGTTTTATTAATAGCATCCAGAGGAGCTTTGATTTGTTTATCTATCCTGCAGCAAACCCGGTTTGCTGCATTAATCCCCATCTGGAAATAATTCAGAGGAATCCTCTAGCCCAGCCCAGCCCCGAAGAAGGGCACAAACCCGCAGCCACGTGGAGCTGCAGCACCAGCTCATCCCACCAGCAGCTGCAGGCTAGATGGGGACCTGAATTTTTAGGGAGCCTTGTCCCAAAAATGCTCTTCCTCCCCAGGGCTTGCATTGCCCACTGCCTGCGGACACCTGGGGTCAGGTGAGAAGTGCAAAATTCATTGAAAAAAACCCACTATTAAAAGCAAGGCCATTTCCAGATTTTGTGCTGAGACAGCCTGGGAGGCTGCAAACCCACCTCAGCCCTTTGCTGTCACCCCGCTGCACACCTCCATGGCACATGGCAGGAGAGATGTCCCAGTGTCCTGCCGGCC